TACATGAATAAAGTAAAATCTCAAGGAGGTAAGGATTCTTCCCAAACTTCACAACTGGTAAAACATAGAATACTCACATCATGGTTACTGGACTCTAAGCTGGGCACCTACCCATCATGTCTCAGAAATGCCACGCCCCTCCATTTCTGAAAAATTATCAAGAATAACAATCATTTAGATCTGTACAATACTGTACAGCAGAAAAAGAACAACCACACCCTCCATGGCCATTTCTTGGCCTGCACACAGTACAGTAAAGTATGCTCCTCTTGTTCATTTCTTAGAAAATCCTATACTTCAGAATCTCCAAAGAGCCCCTCAAATGTTCCTATTTTGCCCAAGGAGGAGAGGAGAATGAGATCTATGAACTGACGATGTATTAAAAGAGTAAAATCCTTAGATCTTTCTTAAAGTAAGTATACAATCATTGATTTAAATCACCCTGTGAGGTCAACAGCAAGACAAAATTCTTCCTGGTTCAGGGATAAGAAGATTGGGCTAAGGATAACTGAGCAAGTCCCAGGTACTAGCAGGACAGAATTTAGGACTAAGCCATATCTCAAAGGCCTGGGGAGTTTTCCACCTGGACAATTCAGACACCAGTACCACAGGTGTGGTCAGTGGCAGGTAGGTCCTAAAGTGAAGAAGCAAACTGAGTTTTTTTTTCAGCATACTACTGTCCACTACAGTTATCCTTTCAAAGGGTCCAGACACTACATAGTTAACTATGTACTCTTAGGTACCTATGGACTGAAGAAAGCCTTGAACCTTAAATGAACAAGTTGAAAAGTAAAAAAAGTCACCATGCTTTTAAAAGTCAGTGAAAGAAACTGAGGCATGCTAACCTGTCTGGATTTAGAATTAAAAGAGCCACACTTGGTAATTCCTTGGTCACAATGGGATCATAATGGGGGCACAGAATCCATAAATTCCATACTCATCTTGAGGTTAAAAAAAAAAAGAAGTGTGTTGTCAAACCAAAGATTTTTCCCAGAGAATTAGTCTTAAAATAATTTAAAAATAAACACCAGGGGCTGGGAAGGTGGCTCAGCTCAGTGGAAGAGTGCTTGCCTTGCACACATGAAGCCCTGGGTTCGATTCTTCAGCCCCACATAAGCAGAAAAAGCCGAAAGTGGCACTGTGGCTCAAGAGGTAGAGCAGTAGCCTTGAGCTGAAGAGCTGAGGGTCAGCGCCCAGGCCCAGAGTTCAGGCCCCACGACTGACAAAAAAAAATAACAAAAACAAACAAACAAACAGAAACACCAAAGCAACTGTGTAAAGTCAGAACAAGAATCAATGGATGACATGGCCACACAAAAAGCAAAGAAGCCAAAGAGCATTAAAAAAATCTTTAAAAGATATGGTTAGCAGGCTTATGGATACACAACATCATCTAACATTCGTTTCTTCATTAGAAGGCAATAATGTGGTATTGACTAAGATGTGAGCCTTTTAATTGGTGCTTTGGGGGAACAAACGTCAGTCATTCTGTAGCCAGACAGTCCCTTAGGGGCTATACTACAGAAATTCTCTTCCTTTTGACATTTATGTCCTTCTGGTTTCATAAGACTTCTAGTTCTCTCTCTCTCAGAAAACTGTGAAGAATCTTAAAATTAAAATAAATTTTCTTTAATTAAAACATAAAAATAGGAAAGAGGGGTATGGCTAGGCAGAGAAGTTCAAGGAAGTGTTGGAGGAAGTAGAATCATGCCAGTACCTTGATGGTTTCCCTGCTGGACACACATACCTCTCCTGTTTCAAGATGCAAAGGCTCCAGCCTATATCTCTGCTCTGGCATGTGTCATACTTCACTGCTTACACAGGTCTCACCCACTAGACAAGGAAAGCCTGAGCCCAAGGCCACTGTTAGTGTCTTAAACATCTTGGCACCCCTGGCCTCTGGTCCAGAGCCAAGCACTCATCAGAAACTCAGCAACTGCTGACCTAATAGTCAACATGGCAGAGGGATTCTTTGCTTTGCAGGCTGTTCTATTTACTTCACCCAGAGCAGGCCTTAGCATTTCCTACCAAAGTGGCTTCCAGGCGAGTAGAGACAGTGTGTAGCCTCAAGAAGTCTGGGCACAGTGTGAACTGACAGCTAAAAATCACTGGGCTTTCTTTTGAACATTAATGTAGCATTTGCATTCTCCTTCATAGTTTCATTTTAGTGTAAAAATAATGTCTTCCATAAACTTGCAATTTTTCACAAGATATTCTTCAGTAAACTAGTTGTTTCATGAGGATGTGTGCATTTTTTTAAGTCTTCCATCTTTGACTGAAGTGTCTAAGATGGGAGGCAGACTTTTAATTTAGTGCTTTGGGGATTATGATTGTGTTACTCTGACAGTCCCTTAGGAGTTATGCAACAGAAGTCATCTTCCTTTTGACATTTATGTCCTTCTGGTTTTGTAACACCTCTAGTGTTCCCCCAAAAAGATTGTGAAGAATCTTAAAATAAATTTTTTTGCATTGATTTGAAGAGAAAAAAAATACAAATAGGGAAGTAAAGGGGATGTAGTCAAGCAGAGCAGCTCAGGGAATTGCTAGAGTGGGCGGGGGGTAGGGGGAGGACAATGAGATTTACAATGAGCCCCATCAATACAATGAGAAGTCCCCCTATCTTTTCCCAATTTTTTTAAGCACCTCACAATTTGGCTCATACTTCTGCTTCATCATGCTAGGGCAACAGTTCTTGCTTCAAGAAGCTAAAGATAAGGCATGTCACTGGCACTGTTAAAATTAGTGGTTTCCATGGCCTCCGTCAGTTTGGTTGGGCCTAGGAGACATGAGGCGCCAAGGAATTCACAACACATCTGCTGTTAACCTTTTATGGACAGTTCCTGTGGCAAAGTTTTTTTTAGGGCTAAATGCCACTCTCACTACCTGACTCTGACCTGACACCACAGAGGCTAATTAAGAGAAAAGTCTTTGAAAGTTCTCGGTAGAAGAAGGCTCAGGCAGGAAAGAGGGCAGTGCTGCTCCAGCTCAGACCTGGCCCTCAGTCCTCTCAATGGGGGGTGAGAAGTACTACTCCTAGGCCCTTTCTGGATAGTGATTTAACAGGGTTGTGTTTCCATGGTATGGAATTGCTCACTCTCAATCTGGGACTTTGTAGTGCATATTTCCTAAGTACAGGTAGGGTATGCTGAGAAAAGTGTGAAGAAAGGAAACCAGGATAGGGAATTAGTCTTTTCTTTCATTCTGCAAAAGGCAGTATTTCAAAAAATTCAATAAAGGGCTCTTTACTAACTGGGGATAGATGAAGATATCACTTCCCTAAGATACAGTGTCAGAAAGAGCAAGATAAGTTGAGCGAGGAGGAAATAAACTAGATGGAATCAAGTCCATCAACATTCTCCTATGAATGTCAGAGCTCAGGGCAGGAGAAAGGCTCCTCAGAGGGACAAGAGCCCCTCTTGGACCTTCAGGTGCCCACTTCCACCTTCTGGTCACATTGGCTTTAGGCTGAACTGCTCCTGAGCAAGCCTAGACAGCCCAGGATTGCTTCTGTGAGAACCTTCCTGGGATGCCTGGTTGCCCACAGGGGCTCTGGCTTGCACCTCCTTCCCAGGCAGGGCACAGCCCTACAACACAGGTATCCCCTTTCTGAATCAGTCTCCACTAAGCTCTCTGAATGGAGAGTCAGTCTGGAGATGAGGGGTTAAACAAAATGAACCTGAAAAATCATGGCCACAGGATGAGGACTATGATTAAGGCCCTAAGACATGTATGTGCAAAACCTGATCACCATTCTGCATTAAGAAAAGACTATATGAGGTATGATTAAAACTGAAGGAAAAGGGGGAAACCACACAGTTACAGCAACCAAAAACCCAAGCTAATAAAGGATTATAATCTCAGGAAGGTTTTGAAACTGCTACATATTTATATGCTAATCTAGGTTTATTTCTCCTCCACAACAAAATCTGAAACACTACTGGAAGTATTTATAATGGCCTGAGCATGACTAAAAAGGGGGCTAGGTTATGTATTCATGAAAAGACCCACAAGAGACAAAAGTCCCTGCTTGGGGGAGACAAATGCTGAAAAGCCTTTTACTCATTTGTAATCCACCTCTAGTAAATGCTTTAGGAAAACATTTTCATTAAATTAACAGTGTTTGGCAAGCATGAGGAACAGAATCTCACAGACAGATACAGGCAGAAAGAATCACAGTTCAATCCAAGAGCAACACACTGAGGGGACATCAGAGTCCAAAACACATGCAGAGAAGCCATCAGAGAGCAGCTGGGAGACACGCAGAGCTGCCTTGCACATGGCAACTGGAGAATGTGCAACAGGAATCCAACTGCTTACCCACTAAGGACACCAAGAACCAGGTTAAGGACGAAAAATGAGCCAAGGATGATCAGACTAACAAAATACACCCATGGCCATTCCCATCCTATCGCATCATTTACCTGTAAAATGTAAGGAAATCAGTTATCAGTTATCCATTTACCAAAGAGCAGAGCCCCAGACGCAGCTGCCAGACTACTCAGTACTTAGGCTAAAGGTTAGAATTTCCAAGATAGGGAATGGGCTGACATCCTTGCAAATTTTTTCAAGTAAGGACAAGTTCTGCTGCGGAAATCTACAAAAAGGGTCTACCAAGAGTCAGCACAGCCCAGTTCATTTAACTACAGATTTTCACCAATTAATGTGCATTGTATTTGGATCCAGACCAAAAAGGCAATTATAAATGTATCTCATTTTAAGACAGACAAAAGGGCAAGCAATGGAAACTATTTAAATTCCAAGCAACAATGCGGATTAATTTCTGTTCGATAATTATTCTATAACTTTCTTTCATGAAGGCTGGTAAGGTTCCAGGAAACAGCTTGATTTGGGAAGCCTCAGCAGAAAAAAAAAACAAAACACATCTCAAAGCAGACATAAAGTGTTTGGCACCCACTCTGCGGCCCCCTCTAGTAAAGTCTGTGTGGTCTTGGCAACTGTCCTCAGGACTCTGCTTTCAAGATGAAAGAGGTGTAGCTTACCCGCTCAATACACCAAGTACAAGATTTAGTACGAAAAATGACCCAAAGATGACGAGACTGACAAAATACACCCAGGGCAATTCAAATCCCATAGCATCATTCATCTGCAAGAAATGAGATGGCCTCAGAGGAGTGGGTTAATAGGACAATCTAGTAAGGAGAGAGGGACACATTAGAGACAGCATTCTATACATTTAATCAAACATTTACTTAGACTGAAATCAGAGACAATAGAAGCCAAGATACACTTGTTTCATATTCCCAACACACATACAGACATACAAACATACCTACCAAAACACACAAAAGAAAAGCCATTGAAGTTTTCAGGCCAAATAATATCAATCATGGATCTGAGTAGAGAAATGAACTGGAATTTGGCTCTTTGTCTCAGGAAACTGTCCTGATTAAGTTATTTTCAGAAGATGTCTTATAGAGGCAAATGTAGTGCTTAGTTAGCTAGAATCCATTTACTGTGCTAAGTTGTATTAACTTTCCTTTTAAAATTTGTGATAGGGTGACATTGACCAAGATACAGAGTGCTCATAGATTGACATGTTGAATTGAAACTCTTTGTACATCTACTTAAAGACAATTACAAAAAAATTTCAGTTTGTGATAGCATAAAGTCTTAGTTATGTGACAAACTTGTAATATTTGACTCTTGGGCTACAAATGTGGCTTAGTGTAGAGTGCTCGTCTAGTATGCATGAAGCCCTAGGTTTGATTCTTTAGTACCTCAGAAAACTCAGAAGTGGCACTATGGCTCAAAAGGTAGAGTGCTAGCCTTGAGCAAAAAAGAAGCTCAGAGACAGTAACTAGGCCCTGAGTTGAAGCCCCAGGACTAGCAAAAGAAAAAAAAAGTCTTCTGAAATGACATGGTTCTACTGTAAGCCAATCTATTCAAGGAAACCTAACCCACTGTAAAAGCTGGATTATTATCAGTGAATAAAGGACAACTAAAGGAGCCGTAATACTCACTAGACATTATGTGAAAATGAACTATGCAACTTGTGGGTGGTGACAGAAGGGAAAAACGGAGAGACTTCTGAAGGAAGGGGTGACACTGTTCAAAAAGAAATATACCCTTTATCTGACTTACATAACTGTGACACCTCTATACATCACCTTTATAATGACAATCAAGATTAAAAAGTAATTGACATACTGAAGACATGAAAAAAGTCTCAGAGGTCAACTAGCTAATACATATGCAGAAGTCTTTTAGGGAATGGGATTTTTCTCTCTGGCATTCAGAGCAGGATGCTGGCTTTAACCTAGATCTTACTTCATTCTCACCACCACCCCACATCCCTCTTGCTCCTGCTGTGAGCTCTGGGATTAGAGGTGAAAAGAGAACTGGTCCAGAGGAACCCTGAGCTTACTCCTAGACAAGCTCAAGCTTCACATTAAGGTATGGCTTCCTTGCGAGAACTTTCCAAGGAAAATTTGATAATGAGCAGCTTTTATGCTGAAGCAGGTGCTTTAAGAACCACAGCTGGATAGCACTTCCTAGCAGTACAGGTCAGTGTAAAATTGGGCAAACATCTCTCCCAGGAAGAAAGTATTAAGGACCAGTCAGGCAACGGAACAGATGAGCCTAGGCATGACCCTGCTGGAACATGCAGAATCCTTTCTCAATAAATAATCTGAGCAGAGTCATTGCTCACAACTTACAGGTACAAGCCCTTAGGGTTTTAAGCATGCGCCTTCCTGCATATTATCTGGCTCTGGGTTTCAGCTTTACAGAGCGAGGCTCATGCATTTCACAATGTTTGTCTCATGCAGAAGCCAAACAGGAAAAGAGAACATTTAAAAAAAATTACCTAACATCTGTTGCTAACGTCTAGGGAGAGGGCATTAAATCCCTTATGAAACACCTGTTTGGCCACATGAAAATTGATGTGCTTAATAGAACTCATATCAGTCTGCACATCTTACATTGGCAATTAGAGTAATGAATGAGCCAGGGCCATGGCTGCAATTGTTGATCTAATTAAGTTGAATAAACTAATTTCGGCAGGAAGACAGGGGGCAATTCTTTCAAAGCAACTATGCCACAGAACTTACTAAAAAACAAAAAAATAAAAATTCATGTGTGGAGAAGAATAGGCTGCTTGGTATGGTGGCCAGAGCCTTGTCTCAAGTCAATACCTGTGACAGAGACCTCTTTGGGACAATTTTCCCTTCTGGAACAGACTTGCATATTGCAAGGGAGAGAGTGGCTCTCAGGGAGGGGAAGATACACGCTGCAGGGCTACCATTATGAAACCTCACTGCTCTACAACTCTAGCTAAGTCAGATGACCAGGTCATCTGCTCCCTCAGGCCTCAGTTCCAGAGTATGGCTCTAGTAGCAGTTGTCTGCTCCACTTGGGAGGGGAATTTTTCGTTAAAGAAATAAAAATTATTTTAACTTCTTGGGAGTATGTACTCAGCAGATTAATGTTTGCTCCAATCAGCAATATCACCTGGAATGACAGCTGAGCACTGGGAGGAAACTGAAGCTAAACAAAACCTATGAGATTCTAACTGTGTCAGAAGGCAGACAAGAGAAAAAAAAGCAAGGCTCCAAAGGCTTTCCCCACAACTAAACCTTGTCAACCAAGACCCTTTTCAGAGATAAATATTTCTTAGACTTTATACACATGTTAAAAAAAAGGTCAGGACTGTCAGGCGGTTCCCCAAAATAGATATATTAAGATACAATACTTGGGGGTTTGCCTGCAAGGTCTTTATCGGCAATGGGGAAATCAGCATGAGCTAAAGCACTTCGATTTAGATTAATCTTTTAAAGCATATCAGAATCATCATGCAGTGTCAGCTGGGGCTCAACAAATAATTTTCTACTTAGCTTCAGTTCCTTCTCATTTTAAATGCTGAAATGCAGCTATGTGTCTCAAACTGAACACCAACTTAAGGCCTTTTGTTATTTCTAAGTGTTGAAAATAGTACTAGAAACTTAGTGCTCTGCTTGTAGCTCTCCAGAGCATGAGATATAAAATAGGCAAACGCTGGGCTGATGATATAGAAAGGAATTTCCCACGTGCCTGAATGTCTGTAAGTAGTTCTTTCTAAGGTCTGACAGTCTGCTGTCCACAGGTGTCTGCATCATTCAGGAAAGAGCGTACTGCCCAGACAAGAGGCCATAAAAGACTTAGGCGGATAGCTCTCTCCTAAAATCATAGTTTTATATTAAAGTAATTTCCTAGATTTAAAAATATTTCCTCTGATTGAAGAAAAAAACCACATTTCTTCTAAGGTAAAGGAAAAAAATAGATTGAACTCTGCCACAAGAAAATAAAATCCCAGAGAGATTCAATGACCTGCTCAAGGTCACACAATCAACCTTGTGTAGCCTTGATGATCTTTCTCTTTACTGACCCTTACTGTCTGTGGGCAACAAATATGTGTAAGTCAAATAACACTTTAATTGGGTTTATGGAGTTCATTTTATAAAAGAGCTTTACAATGATTTTATTTATTTATGAGAAGTTAAAGATTTCACTCCCCAAACATATCCAAATAGTTCTATTCTATATGTGTCTTTCTTTTTCTTTTCTTTTTTTTTCCTGCCAGTCTTGGGCTTAAACTCAGGGCCTGAAAATTCTTCCTGAACTTTTGTTTTTTCAAGGTTAGCACTATACCATTTGAATCACAGATCCACTTCAGGCTTTTTAAAGTGGTTAATTGGAGATAAGAGTCTCATGGACTTTCCTGCTTGGGCTGGCTTTGAACCATAATCCCAAGATCTCAGGATCCTGAGTAGCTAGGGTTACAGGCATGAGCCACTGGTGCCTGGATTCTGAGAGTGCCTTTCTGAATATGGAACCCACTGTGCTTCCATTGCTAAGACCCTGCCAGCCATCTACCAGCCATTTAGCAGAGAATGATAGTGTAATTGACCTTGAGAACACTGACTGAATCTAAACTCAATCTAAACAATCTCCCACAATGACTTTGTCCACCACATACAACTGCCTAAAGAATTGAGACATTTGCTTGCAATCAATATTTAAAACTGAAACTCATTTATCTCCCAAGATGTTCCTTTTATTTCCTACTTTGTGGATAAAAATAGATAGTGAGACATGGCCCATTACACTGGTGAGGCAATGGGCTTGGGATACTTGAAGGATGGTAAGGCACTTGTATTTCTTGAGTACCTGCTCTGTGCCAGAAGTTGTGCTTCACAAGGATGTTCTGTTCTGGGACACAGCTGAATGGCCTCCAGATGACTATGGACCATAAAATATTAGGAGGACCTGGTTCCTTGGCTCCTGCCCATCTCTATGATGTGTTAATAAATGCAATCAACAAGTAATTAGAACTAATCATGATGTGTTTCAGAAAGTTAGATCTTGGAGAACACTCAGAAGACATTACTTAGCTGCCCCCTAGTGTTCTAGAGGGATTCATGAACTACTGACAAGTGGAAGAATGCCAAGGAACAAGTACTGGGTTCTACTCTATGCCTGGAATAGATTCTTAAACTGTAACTATTGGCCAAATGTAACTTATGTCCCACCGTGCTAAAATTGGCTTTTACATTTTAATGACTGGGGAAAATTCAAAGAATATTACATGACAAATGAAAGCCATATAAAATTCAAATATCAGGGTCTGTAAATGAAGTCTGGTTGGAATACAGTCACACCCATTCCTTTGTATATGGCTGAGTCTTAATTCCAATGGTAGAGCTCAATAGCTGAGACAGAGACCACAAGGCCCACAAGGCCAAGTATTTTTACTATTTGGCCCCTTAAAAAAAAAAGCATACAGACCCCTCTGCTCTAGATCAAGGATCACAACCATTTGCTGTAGTTGTTCAGTGGCCTCTCTATACCCACTGCCTCTTTAAGATTCTAGATAATCTACCAAAGGACTAGACTAATGTTTATAAATTACTCCAACAGAATCAAGATGTTGTGTAATTTATAGAGAATGTCATTATATTGTCAAATTATTGACTATGTGGTTGTCGTGTTAACAATAAAAATAATAATTGTGTCATCCTAGGTGATACTTTAAAGATCTCAAGAAAGCAAGTGGAAACTTTTGTTTCTGGGTGCACAAAGTTTTCGCTGCTTTGATCACATACTCCCAGAGCTTTGCTGTTTGACAACAGGACAATTGCTGTGAAAGGATCAATGTGCAGAAATACAACATAAAGTATAAAATTGTCCATTAGTCAAGGCATGTTAGATCAGCAGTTGTCAATTCACAATAGAAAACAAAACAAAGCTGAGTCACTGATTTTTATTTTTAAAAAATCAAAGTGTTGCTTTCTCTGCTGTTTGTGAGAAAGAATCAGAGATGGAGCTGTTTGGATGATGCCTTTTCTAGTTATCAGAAACTTCAAAGGAACACTAAGATTAAGACTTCACTGAGTAGGAGTTATAATTTAGGAGATAAATGTGAAAATGGACTCTTCACCTAACCTGAGAGTCCTTGTGCCTATATTAGCCCATCCAATATAATGTCTTCTTCCTTTCCATGGAAGGGTGTTGTTTTAGGAATATAATCAACAGATGTGATTGCTCACGCACACACACATACACACATACACACACATACAGACACCCAATTCCCACAACAGTCAGAAAAAGGGAGAAAGGACAAACAAGGTATAACAAGTTGGTGATGCTTAAATCTTATAATACTTTAGACACTAAAGATAGAAACATTCCTTCTTTGTCTAACATTGAATATATAGTCATCCCTCAGTATCTGCAGGAATTTGTCCAGAACCTCACACCCCAGGGACAGCAAAATCTGCAGAGCTCAAACTCATTATATAAAATGCACAGTATTTGCATATGACCTATCAAATCCTTTCATATATACCTCTGCCTATGTATTATTGAGATTACATTAGTTTTTCAGGGGAGCTTTCATATACTTTGGGCCCTAGATGATTAAATTCCTTAATATGACTTAAATAATCATAATACTGTATTGTTTAGGAATAACAGGAGAAAAGTCTGTATAGGCACAGTGCAGGTACAATGTATTTTTCTCGAATAGTTTAAATCTGCAGTTGAAAGCAAGAGATGTAGAATGAATGGCTGCAGAGCTGCAGATATGGAGGGCTGACTGTATAAGACTTTGCTTTAATCTGGTAAACATAGTATTCATTGGATAAGAGAAGCAAAACCTATATGTAACTATCATATATAGGTTTTCTGAAATTATGAAATAATATGAAATCCTGTAAAGTTTAGAACTTAAAAGCCATTAGAAGCTACTTCTCAATTTCTAGGTCTTTTATCTAAAAGGTGCCCATATAAGAAGTACTTCATTACTAATTTCCTCTAAGTAACTCATTTTTTGAATCCTAGATAATGCTATTTGGGCTGGAATTTAGACTGAAACTCTACATTAGCCATTTTCCCCAGGAGCTCCAAACAATTTCTAAACTTCTATGGGCTTAATTTTTTTTTCCTTATACACAAACATGCCAAAGGATGTGTTCTTACTACTTTATGTTATTTACAGAAAACCCTCTGGCTTTGTCAGGAACAAGAGGATCAGACCCTTATCACTACAAGGGTGTCCAACTGTTAGAGACAATCCTAGCAATTTGATCACCTTTTCTACCCTCTCTTCTAGAATTCTACAGCTGCACAGAAAAAGGAAGAGAGCTATGGCCCTGTGCTGAGCTAATTATAATTGGAAAAAAGGCGCAATATGGGCTAAGGTTTTTCTGAGCTACAGGAAACAGGAAATGGATCCAAAGTAGATAGATTCTAATGGGAAAATATGGAACATATTTGGATCCCTTCCTGAAACTTTTGCCTGAGAGAGCAGGATGATGAGGTTCTCTTAGTAAAAACAAAATCTGCTTCCCTTTCCAAAGAACTGACTTCCAGGGTCTCTTTCTTAGTTGACCTTTCAATGCTTTTGCTAAGGAAACGTTAAGGGAATAACAAGCCATAATGCTCTCTTTGAGCTGCTTACCCAGTAGAGCACATCTGTCCAGCCCTCCATGGTGATGCACTGAAACACAGTGAGCATGGCAAAGGCAAAGTTATCAAAGTTGGTGATGCCTCCATTTGGGCCAACCCAGCCACTCCTACATTCTGTGCCATTGGCAGTACACTGGCGTCCATTCCCTGAGAACGCACACGGAGCTGGGTCCTCTTCAGCTACAATATCTGTAAACAAAGGAAGCAGGCTGCATTACTCCAGAGAGAAATAATAGTGGAAGCTCAGGACTCTTGACCAAGCCTAGAAGATTCCTCTAACCTATGCCATCTCAAAATCCTTGCTACCCTCCTCAAGGTCCACTTCCAATACTCCCTCTTTAGTGAATTCATCATTTCCTCTACTCATGACCAAGCCATTGCTCTTTGCCCTGTTCTCAACTTTAGAGCACCTTTCTTAAGTGAATATAATACCATATTGTTGGTTTATCTCATGGTAGTCCCTCATCTAGCCTGTTAGCACACATTGCATAGGAAATCAGGATGCAAAAGTCAAATAAGCTCTCATTCATACT